AATTTTTCAATATCTTAATTGCCAATTTCAACTCGTGCATTTTTCACTGCTCAATGACTGGAGCACGCTTCAATGGCTTGACGTTCGGCAAATTAGGGTAATCAAAGCGAGAAGACACATCTCTTTTTCTTTTCTTGCTTTGGTGTTCAACCAGCACGTCAAATGTTTTTGATTCATATTCCTTCCCGCCATAACCAACATACGCCTTTCCATAGAAAAACGCTGCTTTTCCTGGAATCATGTGACCGTCTGAGTACCTCACCCTTGCAACATACAGTGGCCTGCCTATAAGATAACAGCCCTTTATTTGACATTATCATTATGATTTATTTTCTTTTGTCTTCATGTTGTTACGTAGCTCTTAGTTTTACAACACAAAATTTATCATAAATTAGCGTGGACTTATCATTGGACAGTGCAAGGTTAGAACTTGAGTCCGCATGGTTATCGATGGAAATATAATTCTACCAGCTAGAGAGCTTCATGAGAAGAGAAACCGCAATTATATTAAGGCATACATAAAATTTAGATTTGATTTATTTTATTATTCTTATTTATTTATTTTTATTTATTTAGTTGAATTATTTTTTTAATTTTCTAATTGTATATATAATTTTTCTTTGCAAAACTCTCAGTTTACTGAAGATGGACAAAGTACCGAAACGCCCAATAAAACAGAAATATTATAGCTTCAAGTTGGTGTTTTGTTTTATTTCATTCTACTTAAAATTTAGATTTTTATTTCTTTGACTTACCATTGTCGTAGCCTCCTATGACTGCATTTGCAGGAACATGGTTACCACTGCTTGCTTTCCACTCCAAATGGGACTTCCATCCAGGGTTTGTGAGAATCTGATAATTGCTATCAAAGTGCTCACGTCCTCCCCATGACGCATGCGCTTTACGATCTGATACATCCATTTTTCCAGGCGTTTGGCCACTGTGTAGTTTGATTCTTGCAACGTGAAGTACCTAATAGTATAAAACGTATTTAAAGTCTTGTATCATACGTTTAAAGATTTTTAGTCTTCTTGTTATTAGGTGCATCTGATATAAACGTTGTATCTGTTTGTATCTGTGTTTTTTAAGGAATTGACGCTATATTGTAACGAATTTCCTACCTCTCCTGGATAGTCTGATCCACCGGCTACGGGATAATCAGGGAGTCCTCCATAGGAAGCGTCCTTCCAAACAAGATTCGAGCATTCCACACCCTTTGAATACGATAAGGAAAAGAATTAAAAGACGTTTTATCTGTTGGAAAGACGTTTGTTTACATACTAATGCTGAAAGAAAGTTTCCGACCACTATTCAGTTCATGGGAACCTACCTTTCTGAAGATAGGTGTATATGCACTTGGGGGAATGAGAGTCGATGGATGCAAAAGGCGATAAAGTTTGCAAGATCGTTAGAAGGTTTTGCATGACTGATGAACCACAGAGTAAGAGATTTTAACTGTTTGTGTACTTACAGTAGTTTTTAGCATCATTGTCATCATCATGATGGCCAGAAGAACTGACAACTTTTTGCTTAAACGTGCCATGTCTGATAGTTTGAAAATACAATTTAGTCAAACTAAAACCCATTCAAGGTCAAGGCCACCCTTAGGCGATTTTTAGACGTTTAGATATGAATTTCACTTAGATTTGAATGAAAAGTTATTCTATAACAATAAACAAATGTTAAAGGGACACTGTCAATGGCACGCATGCGCGAATAAACTTGAAAACATTAGACTAATGTTTTCAAGTTTATGACTCCAAGTTGGCGCGACATAAATCAGCTCGTAAGCGTAAACAGATATAGAAAATTCCAAAGTGTGTCAAAAGCACCACAAAATGATTTACCACGAAGATAATACTTTCAAAGTCCGTTAGAGGCGAAACTGTTACTGCGCATGTCATCCATTGACACTGGAAAAAATCGCGCGCTTTAAAGGTTGTAAATTTGATGTATATATGATGTAAGTGTCCAAAATGATGTAAATTTGATGTAAATCATTTCCATCAAATTTACATCATTTTGGACACTTACATCATATTTCCATCAAATTTACAACCTTTATGGCGCGCGATTTTTTCCAGTGTGACAGTGTTCCTTTAAAACAATGCAAGGTTGTTACCTTTTAACACTAGTTTACCGCTAGTTCCCACCACGTTATGTTTTAATGTGCATTATAAAATAACTTAGATACTACACGCGTTCTGATTGCCCTAGCTCTTTGTTTGCATGAAAATATGAAAACATGGTTTTGACGTCACCATATTTCAAAACTAGAAGAATAGGGAAGAAATCATCTATTTAACCAATAATTTAAAAAAACTTAGAATCACAACTTAGAAGCAAACTAGTTATGAGTATTCTCTGCATAAATGTTTCTGTTTCTTGTAGAGTTTGAGTGCATAGAAACTTCGGTAAAATAAAACTAGATAAACAAAGCAACTAAATTGAAGTAAAACATTAAAAAACGTAATAAGTCAAATGCATATCTTCATTATCTATATTTACATTTCAATACGAAGCTAAAAATTGAGGAAATTTAGAAAGTATTTTCCACGTAATTAATATACTACATCAAAAAAGTAAAATGACCAATTGCCATTTAAGTCAGTCGTGCGGAAATCGCAGTACGCTCGTTAAAAACCTAACGTGGGAAAAATTGTGTTTAAAATAACCTGGCGGGACGTAGGGACCTGGACACGGCAGTGAACTTTTATTTATCTCCAATATAGAGAAACCTCGAATGTGTTATTTTCACTAGTGAAAAGTTTAGTTCAACTGACGTACAAATTTGCGAAATGGAGAAATATAGGTATTTCATAGATAATTATATGATTATATTACGAATAATCAATGGAACTGAATATATAGGTAGAGTTATTTAGCGCTCATTTTTTCAAGTTAAACATATTAGCTTAGTTTATATTATTCGGCATACAATGGGTGTTAGCAGTTTTGATTCCGAACGGTTTACCGAACCATATGGATTTATATATGAAGCATTGCAAAATGGTTTAATAGGTTACCTTTGGTGGCACAAATGTGTATCTATGCTTACCTTGAACAGCTACTGCGACAGAAGCAAGTGCAATAATAAAACCAGAAACTGGAACTGGATTTTATAGTAGCGGTCTTTCGTAGGACGTGACTGTCTAGGCTCGAGCAGTGGAGGTTGCAATGTCAGTTGTCAGTTCATATTTGTCAGCTGTCAGAAAGTTGAAACCTTTCATCTTTACACTCTCAGGATTGTCTGAATATTGTTGGGATCCCAAAGTCAGCTCTCGGTCTGAATTTATTATATTTTAAGCTAATTATCAGTTGAATATTTACCCTTACTATAGCGTCGTATTCTTGAGTGCTGGTGATCCAATATTCCGAAATTCAAAACTTCTATTTTGAAAATTAACGTCGGATCATTTTGAAGACAGGGATTTGTGCTTATTTCTGAATAAACAGAATCGAAATATCATTGATTCGCGCAGCAAAATGCATGAAATATTTCAAAGAAAAGCTCTGATCGTTGTTCCATGTAAACTTGTTGACTTATATTGTACAAAACACAATTCACCAAGTAAATTCCAAGTAATTTCATTTTGTATCTTCAATAACAAGCTTGTTCAAAACCCGATACGGTAACTGTAATCCATGTTTAAATCTATAGGTTTTTTAAGAATTAGACCATAGGATTAGCGCTAGATAATAGAAGGGAATGGCTTGAAAACCTTGTTGTATTTTTTTTTTTTTTTTTTTTTTTTTTTTTTTTTTTTTTTTTCATCTTGTGCACGTATTTGAATAAGTCAAAACCGTGCACAACGTTTTTCTTACGGGCGATGGAAATTGCAAAACTGACTAAACAGAAACACTCTCTACGAGATTATGAACTGAAATATTTCAATATTGGTTCAATTGCTTTCTTCATTTTGTGCATTTCACAACAAAAGGCTTCTTATTGAACCATTTCCCTCTAGCTCTACAAACTATGCGCTAATCGAGCCACGAACAAAACCTGGTTCCCAAGAACTTTAGGGGGCTGCTATTTTGCGAGCCTGCGAGCCCGAGCATATTAATGCGAGCCGCAAGCCTTTTTTAGCGAGCCTTCTTCAAAATAACTAAAAAACATTTATTTCTTTATTTTGTTCCTGTTCTTATATTTTAGAATTTCGCCACAGTCATGTACTTTGGTGCATGCTGACTGATTTAACACTGTTTTTCACCTGAAAAACCAAATTAGTTGCCTTATAGTGACAATGTGGTTTAGCTCTTTCACGTAGATAATTCGGAACTTCCATGCTAATTTAATTAGCTAGAAATGAGATGACTTTTGAACATCTGACAGTTTATTGTAGAGAGACGAGAATTGAAGTAAAACATGACATAAGCACTACAATATTGGAAAGACCTCTTGTCAGGACCAAAGGAGCAGTATGGCTTTCAAGTCAGTGGCTGTCGTAATTGACAAAATAGGGCCATGACTGAAAAACAGAAAGGTAAACAAGGAATGAATGAAAAAAAGAGGAAAAGGAGATGAAAAAGAGTAAGGATCGAAAAATATTTACAAAAAGAAGTATTTCAAAGTATTACAGTCGTATATACAAATAAATACAGATACAGTAGAGCGAGGGAGGAGTAAAATGCCTTAAATAGGATACGTTGTGATGGATAGGTTATGAGTCGTATTTGGAATCAAAGAATCAAAGATGACATATACTTTCTACATAGAGGATTCCTAAATATTAGAAATATGGACTCGGATCATTGCTTTTCTTAAGAAAGAAAATCCATCTTTCACATTTACATAATTGCGAAGGTTCAAAAAGACATTGCAGCCCTTCACATCCAGACTGTCCCGAAAGCTTAAAAGGTACTGCTTTAATTTAATAAAATAATAATTAGTTTACATTCAGCTGGAAACTGACAGATGACTTGGGTAGACATTTAACGGGAAAATTCCTCTGAGTTTTAACTGACAACTGATATTAATTGCGACACCGTCAGCCAGACACGCTCCTGAGAGCAACATGAAGGGAAGGTTTTGATTATATAAAATAGTGATAAATTTTAACTTCTCTGGAGACTGCAACTCTTATCTTTGCGGATTTAAAAAATAAAAGAATCCCAAAGAAAAGAGACGCATTTGTCAGGATCTAAAAAGTGTTGGAGTCCACACATTCCTGAAAGTTTAACGAAAAGGATAAAATCATTATTTGTTTAAATCCAACTGGAAACTGACAGATTCGTACAAATTTAACAGGCTTATGAATATTTGTCTAAGTTTTAATTGACAACTGATATTGCGACCCCCTCAGCCAGACAGTCTCCCTAGAGCAAAATGAAGGAAAGGTTTTGACTATATAAAATATAATGATAAATTTCAACTCCTCTACTGGCTGCACCTCTTGCCTTCTTAAAAGGATTTACAAATAGAATTACAAAGAAAATGGACTCATCTGTAAGCAATACACCTTTTCAGTTGCTCTTAGGCCTGTATAGTTATATAGATATATAGATAATGGTGTTTTATCTTAAAACTATTTTTTTGCCTAGATATCTATGATGTAATGTTATATTTCTTGTAATAGTTATAATTCGTATTTTTAGTAACAATTATAGTTTTAAGACTTTTAATTACCTCATGTTTTATATAGTTATGATATAGTTTTTCAATATAGTTAGCTTTTTAATCTTACAGTTTAATTTTAGGAGTTCCTTTTTGAAAACCATTTCTTTGTGAATGAAAAAGTTTCCTCAATAAAGATTATTATTATTATTCATTCCCTCTAAGTTAGCCATGCAAATATTTTTAATAATAATTTATATAACGTATTTATGGTCTAAACGGCTTATATATTTTTTTTAGTTATGAAATTTCCATTTTTCCTGTCAAAAATGCTAATAAAGTATTCCTCGTCTGGAGAGTTCTTTTTTCCTGAATTTCTCGCTGGCAACCAGTTGTGACTTACAGCTGGCTGGGAAATAAGGACAGTTACATTCTAATTCACTGCGTTCAAACGAATGTAAAATATTTTCCGTTTAAATTCCGAGTACAGACAGAACAACAAGATAAATGGTTGGTTCGCTACGGAACCAGACACTCGCTTTATTGAATACTACTTTAACATTAACGTACACAATATAATATTATTATAACCCAATCATTGAACTTAATTCATAAGTCTAATGCTTCTGTTACTTTAAGCCTATTTTCAAGTGTCTCAAGGACATACATATCCTTAGCAACATCGGTTTTCCACCGATCATTTAACTTTAAAAGACGATCTGAAATGCTGCTATCGTTAGCTACTACGGTTGTTATCCCACCGGACCTTAAACTGTGGAGGCCGTACATCCTAGGATCATGGCCTAGTGAAACTAAACAATCTTTGAAAATCTCCCGACATCTAGTATATGATAACGCCTTGCTTCTTAACTTAAAACCTGTTTTCGATTTGGTTAAGCCACGAAAAAGAGCTAACTTGCTTGATAAGGGAATTTCACCTGATTCCATATACCTCTCTAATAATTTAACCGGACAATACCTAGAGGACGACCGAGCGATAAATACAGTATTTCCCTTACGATAATCGTCAGTTTTACTTTTACTGACTGTTATTTTTAGACATTTATCATCGAAAATTAGATCTATAGGGCTAATATTGCTTAACTCATCGTAACGAATGAAACCAGCGTAACCTATACAACATAACGTTGCTAAACGTAAATCTTTCACATTAACATCAGTGCTACCATACATATCAATTATTTCTCTTATTATTGCTAAGCTTAAAGGTTCTTTCTTCTTGACTGGGGCTTTCTTGGCGCGCCTCACAGATTCCACCAAGTTTCTACATATTCCATTATCCAAGGGATTCATCGTTGCTAGAGGACAGAAACAGTGAAGCCATTTGAGTGCAGCGTGACATCGGCTAATCGTGTTCCCAGATCTTCCATCTGTGGAGAGCTCAAATAGATACATAGTTAAAATACTCGTGCAAAACGGTATCACAGTAGGTACTTTTCTGATTTGACACCATCTAAAGGACTTCCTGATTTCTCTCAGATAGTATTTAGCAGTAGAACGAGCACGTGACCCCATCAGCGCTTCTACGAGTTCGGGAAAATTCTGCCGAAGGTGCTCGTCAACGGTGTCCCAACAGGGGCTGCTTTTAATCGACTGTAAATGAAATAAACACAATATACAGGTTATGATTGAAATCAATTGACATATGACAATATATACCATCGCTTTCAAGTTCTACCTAACCCTTCTAGAAGTAATCCAACAGTGACGAAACATGGCCATCGCCCAATATTTCAAGGTCCCATTCTCTTGGAGCCAGGTCTCTGCTTTCAATAATCACAAATTGCCAGTGCAGTCAAATACTCAATAGATCATTGCCAGTGCAATACATATTCAATCGATCATTGCCAGTGCAATACATATTCAATCGATCATTGCCAGTGCAATACATATTCAATAGATCATTGCCAGTACAAAACATAATCAATACATTATTGCCAGTGCCATACAATACTCTATAGATCATTGCCAGTGCAATACAATACTCTATAGATCACTGCCAGTGCAATACATTACTCTATAGATCGTTGCCAGTGCAAAACATAATCAATACATTATTGCCAGTGCAATACAACACTCAATGGATCAATGCCAGTGCAGTCAAATACTCAATAGATCGTTGCCAGCGCAAAAAACTACTCGATGAATCCTTGCTAGTGCAGCGACATCATCCTAAAAGACATTACGCCAGGGACCTACTTACCGATTCACTTACAGCTAAAATCGCATCTAAAGGCAGTAACCATTCCATTGAAGTTTTGCGAGCCCCGTTGGGATCTAGTGTTACGCCCATGAATAAGGGCTACCCTACCCCATTCAGTAATGGAATCTTTGACAAAGTTAGCATAGATCCCCCGGATCAAAGGTCAGAAACACGACGAAGGCCAATAAGGCGCTATGACTGTCCCGACACCGTTAACTGCCTTCATGTAATGTAGAACTCTAGGTAACAGGACAACAGAGGGAACCACTAAGCAATTTTCTCCACTTAGATCTTGTACAAAAAAGTCGAT